TGAAAGCAAAATATTGCTTTGATGCAGACGGGATGGTGGAGGGGTAAGACATCGGCGTTAAGGGGTGAGCATTGGGACAAATGCATATTTGATGCGGGAGCCTCTCGCGCCAACTTCTCATCCAGGTGTCGTCGTGCTGCGACCACCCTAATAGTACATTCTAGCGTGATACCATTTACTGCAAGCACTCTCTTTCGGCGTGCCATTCTGCCCCAGGAAGGTGAGCCGGGTGCGGGTGGGAGGGCCTTAAAGGGACCGTCACCTCGACTGCGCTGAAGTGCCTGGGGCAGTGGTTCAAGCTCGGGCTGTGCTGTGTTTGCAGTTCGTCCTCCAGATCTTTTACTATTATTATTTAGATTTTTTAATATATTATTTGGATTATTGGATTACTATTATTTGCAAAGAACTGGTTTACTGTCAGGTTCTCAAAGCACTTTCTTGTTGCCTTATTAGCTTTTAAATCACTCGCCAGACCTATCACCAAGGCAGGTCATTATCTCCCAAACCATGGCGCATAGCCTGCCAACGTCAAAATTGCTCCGAGGGGTGGAGTGGGTGTAAAAATACAGATTTGGGGGCCTCACCTCCAACCTTTCTGATTCTGTAAAGCTAGGGTCAGATTCAGGAATCTATTTTAATGAGCATTCCGAAGTGATTCCTCAGCACGCTAAAAGCACAACGAATCTCAAGGTTGAGAAAACCGAAGCTAAGAGTGAGGACAGGCAGAGGCGGGGCTAGAATCCGCCACACTGCTCTCTCTATTTCCTGTCCAGAGTCTCGCCGCCTGAGGCTATTTTCCAGCACCTTGCTATATGAGTAGTTTGTGCACTGTGGCTACATAAGTTATTGGTGATCGCATTTCGGTCCTAAGAGATAAATGCCCCGCTGATGTGTTTACAGGGCTTGTGGCTCCTCGGTGGCGATGACTGTGACTTTTTATCTTTGTGCCCAGGGCCTTGTACAGTGCCTGTCTCAGAGGCGCTCTTACTTAAGAATCAGTGCCTGCGTCTGCACTTGGACAGACTTCCGTCTTTGCTGCAGCTTGTAGAGAAGTCAATCATCTCAGTTTGCCTGGGGCTAAGGGATTTCAAGGAACTAAGACTTCCGGTTCTAATATTAGGATAGTCATGGGCAAATTGAGATAAGTTGGTCACTCGTGTGGTATGTCAGAAGGCACGGCATTCCTTCTCTCTCCCAGGAATCTAACAGGTAGCTTGTGCTTGTACCACTTAGAGGGCACGAAAGAGGAGCCTGGCTCCCTGAAAGTGCAAGAGAGAAAAGGTTCAGAATTAGTATATTGTATCTCTGTTGCTATCATATATATATATATATGGCTAATATGCTAAGTGTCCGACCGTCTGGGTAATGACTTCACATAGCAACGCCCGGCTTCCTCTCCCTAGCGAGGACTAGCCTCCTTGCAGTTTCTTCAGCCCAGGAACACGACTTGCTTTATAGCCAGGTGCAAACATTTCACACTATAACCAAATGTGTGTGAAGCGTTTTCCCCTGCCTCATCTCATTTGATCCTCACAGAAGTCCTGGAGTAGGTAGATAGGAGACTCGGTGGAATCCTACTTTCTTTTCATTAGCTGGAAAATGGAGATTTAGAAAGCTTAGAAACTTGACCCGACTGAAAAGAAGTAAGAAATGGTTGACCTTGAAAATGACTTCAGGGCCCTGACTGGTTTGGCTCAGTGGATGGAGCGTCAGCCTGAGGACTCAAGGGTCCCAGGTTCGATTCCGGTCAAGGGCATGTGCGTTGGTTGCGGGCACATACCCAGTGGGGAGTGTGCAGGAGGCAGCTGATCGATGTTCTCTCTCATCGATGTTTCTAACTCTCTATCCCTCTCCCTTCCTCTCTGTAAAAAAACCAATAAAATATATTTTTTAAGAAATGTAATTTTTTTTAAAGCTATCTCTACAAGAAGAGAACACTCATTCTCTTGGGGTTTTTTTTTCTTTTTCTTTCGTTAATCCTCACCCAAGGATATGTTTTTATTGATTTTAGAGAGAGAGGAAGGGAAGAAGAGAGAGAGAGAAACATCTATGTGAGAGAGAAACATGGATTGGCTGCCTCCTGCACTCACCCTGACCTGGGACTGAACCCACAACCCAGGTATGTGCCCTGACTGGGAATCGAACCTACACTCCCTGGTGCACGGGATGATGCTCCAACCAACCGGGCCACCCGGCCAGGGCAAGTGCACAGCTTTACCTTGTCTGAGCAAGTGGGAGATTTGACAGGATGGGCTCATGTTAGGTTGCAGCCTGGTGGTTAGGAGTCATATGGGGTCATGAGCACAGGTTCAAGCCTCCCCGACCTTTGAAAAGCTGGGTCAAGTCCCTGAGCCTCTCTGTGCCTCAGTTTCTTCAACTCTGAAATGAGAATTTAATAGTCTTCCTCCCTCATTGGGTTGTGATAATTAACCGAGTGAATATTTATAAAGTGCTCAGAACAATGTTTGCACAGG